TTGTCCTAGCTGTTCCTCACAGTCGCAAATGATCCAAAATGTAGGACTAGAGATTAAATACATAGTAAACAAAAAGTCCATGGTCTTAAGGAAAACAAAGCCCACATTTTTGATTGTGGCTGAGGACCACTGCAAGCTGTAGAAGAAAATGTCTGTTGCTTTCTGTTACATGACTAGTCATTTCTTCCTGTGCTACCAGGTTTTTACTTGCCTAGTCATGTAGTGAGTGTGGCTTTAGAGGGAAATAAGGCCTGGCCTCAAGAACTGGAGACAATCTGGATTCATACTCAGAGGTGTCTGGTGGAAATTTAAGAACTGCTCTTGAGGAGCACTGGTTCTTCATTATACAAGTTTTCCCAGGGTGATATGGACCTGTAATCATTGTTGAGCATGGCTGGTTATAGGTCAGCGGTACTCATCTTCTCAGGGTATTAACCTGAATTGTGTTAGCTACTGCAGGAGGGGCACTCTGGATTATGCCTATTTTGTAGCTGTTGTAAAAGGTGTATGTGCACTCAAAAATATGTGACTTTGCAGGATGGACTGCAAAGTAGTGGTGGGGAGCTTCTCTGCTGCTTTCAGGGCCCATCAGGATCCCTTGTCAGCACAGAAACATCTTGAACATCTGGAGTGAAGTCATGCTCCTGGTCCTTGTTGCTAATTTATGGGCTTATAAGACAGACAAGTTCTTGGGTTTCTTTCTTTTTTTCTTTTTTTTTTTTTTTTTTTTTTTTTTTTTTTTTTTTTTTTTTTTTTTTTTTTTTTTTTCTCATCTTTTTCTCATTGAAGGCATGCCTAGCCAGGAGAGTCATGGCACTAGGTACTATACAGAGAAGTAGTACTTTGGAGTCTGCTGAGAAAACTTATGGTCTAGTTAGAACTAGCAGGCAAAGACTGAGGGAAGGGAAGAATTGTTCCTCCCTGGTTTTGTTATTAGCTGACCTGATTCCATGATAGAAAACCTCAGTTTCTTAACATTTAAAAGAAAAGTGACCTCAGGGAAGTAACAGAGTCTGATCTTTGAGGCTGGTGCTTGCTCTCATGGCAGTGGCTACCTGCAAGGCTGCACAGAATTGCACCAGGCTCTTGTGGCTGTCCCAGCACCCACAGGGCTGCTGGTGCTTTCAGAGTGCTCACCTTCCCGTTCATGCCGAGCTTCCAGTGCTCCCAGTCTGCTGTTTAGTTTCAGTCACACTTTTTTTCACCAATAAAGAGCCCCTAACCTCTACTAAACATTTACCCCTCCTATGCAGCTTTGCAGGAGTATGCAATAGCATAGGTTGTTCTTTTCCAAGTCCAGGAGCTTTTATCAGTCAGCCAGAACTGGGTTATTTTAGTGTCCATGGCTTGGTATGTAAGTGCAAAGCCTGTGTGTATGCCAGCAGTGTCGCTGGCATGCCTGTCCCAAACATCTGGGGTTTCACCTGGGGCTCTGTACTGAAGGGCTGTGTGTTTTTCAGTGTGCTGACAACTGTATTCTGTATTTCCCATTGTGCTGCCTTCAGTATGATTTGCCTTCCTTGTCCAGCAGTTGTTCATGTCTGCTCCTTACTTTTTCCCAGCAGCTTTAAAATCTGCACATATGCTGATGATTTTGTGTCATTAATATCAATGTAGACAAGTCTGTGTGACCTTTAACTCCCCTGTCCAAAGGGAAGAATTGACCCTTACAGTCAGCCACAGCACAGCACTGACTCATACATACTTTTCATAAAAATAATGAGGAAATTCCCCATAGTTTTTACAGATACTTTTTCAGGAGTTGAAGTGGAAGTCTTCCATAGCAACACAGTTTGGGAAAACTATGAAGCATGTAACAGATAATTAATCTTTTTTCTGACATATGATACACTTTATAATATTATTTTTTTCCCTCTTCTTGTGTCTCACTTGCTCAGACTCAACAGATCTGTTTGAGTTTCATTGGAGCTCACGTGCTTTCCAGTCTTATTCCCACCCTTGTCTGTTCTTCAGCTTCATTGTAAACCTCCTGGGAGGAGGCTGGGATTTGTCCCACCTCCCTGACTCTGCAATGAGGAACAAAATAGGACTATACTTCCTCTTTTTTGCCCTGATTTTAATACACTTTCTGGTTTTTCCTGCATAAGATAAAACATGTTATGTTTAGATATGTAGAACAAAAAAACAAAAAAAATCTCTAAGTTTGAAGTTCTTTTAAAAAAAATTAACTGTAGTTTGGAATGAGTCAGAATACTTCCAGTAAGGACTAATGATAAAACAAAATTACTAGGCACCCAAAAGTAATTTCAGGGAAGCTGTTTATGACTGACATATGAGTGTCATAAGGAAATACCATTTCTTTACTTTCCTATATTTGATTATTTGTCACTTAAAAAAATTTCCATTTATAATTAAGGCCAGAATAATTCCTCAAGGTCTCAGTATCTGAATATCTTTCCAGTGAATACTTAGAGAACTGCATTTTTTGATCATGCTTGCGGTAGTGGAGCCAAGGCAAGCATTCTTAAAAATATGGAGATGACTGAATACTTCTAAATTGTTATTTTTCTTTAAGGCAAAAAAAAAAGCATATTTAAAATATTTAAAATAAATGTAATGAAACAGCTAGACTGCAATATTTTGTCAAGAGTGAATTTGACCCATTAGCTTGGTTGCTTCTCTGCCATCAGGATCTCAAATGCCCTTTTCTCCCTCTTAGAAAAATCTGAAATTTGCTCTACTTGATAGTGTGATTTAAAGCCAAATATTGTACATTTGAAGACTTAAAGTTATTTTCAGTCTTAGAGCAAGATAGAAAATGAGCAATCTCCAGTCAGATCCTATATATGGGTTGTTGAGATGTATTGTTTTGGTTAATATGGATGCTTTGTGGTATGCATATTCTAATGACTGAAGTGATTTTTGGCATAAGGAAGACTTATGCAGTGGTGGCAGTTTTTTGTCACACATGTATGCTTTTCTTTCCAGTAAATTCCTTAGAGTTAAAGAATATCCGTGGTTTAATATAGAAGGAATCTGACATAGCTCTGAGGAAGCTCAAGTGTTTGTGGAAAGAGCTGTTAATCTTTGATCAACTGGGGTCTCCTTGTTACTGACTTTGATTACACAAGTGTACAACTTTAATTACAGCTTTTAATAAGATTTTCATTTCTTCCTAGTCACATTCTTTGTATAGTAGAGCAGCTTATCTTTTCTTTCTCCCCTGCTCCCCTTCCCTTCCCCCCGCTCCTTTTTATGGAAAAGGGCATTTGAGGTCATTGCAGGGGATTCAGTGTCCGGAGGGATCCTGCTGTACACGCTCTGCCCATGCTGTACCCTCTGCTTGCTTGCACAGTCCAGAGAGCTCTCTCCTTCAGCTGCCCTCCACATATGCCTGCACTGGCAGCTGCCCAGGAGCTGGTGGTCAGCAGGGGAGGACAGGTCTGAGAGGCACAATGTTCACACAGACATTCACTGCTGCACAAAACCTCTGAAAAACCCTTAGGAAGTCTCTGTAGGCAAAGGATGTTCTGACCTCCCCATCACTGAATAACCTGAGACTTGGGTAAGTTGAGTTCTGATCATCAGAATTGAGTAGGGGGAACTTGAGGTGCCTTCCTTGGTATTTGCTGCATTTTTGTTCTTCCCTAAGCCTCTGCTTATGGCCCCTGTCAGCAATAGGATATTGGTGCAGTATAGCCAAGATGAGTTTGACTTCCATATAAATCATAAGATACAACTGAGGAGTAATTTAAAATATGTGAGTCACAAAAAAGATACAGATGGTAAAACAGAGCAATTTGCACTGATTTGACATTCAGAGGTGTGCAAAATTTTAAAAGGCCAGTTGTGCCTACAGAAGAAGATAGTGGGGAAAACAACTAATAGAACAGCAAAGGGAGCTCCTTTTATCTCTGTGCATGCATCCCTTTGGCTCACTTGCTGTATATGCTATACTCTTTTTGCACACTAATGAATATCAGAGTCAGAACAAGTTATGCTATCTATCACTCCGCTCCTGTTTTCTAGTGAACTTACCCCTAACAGGTATCTTCCCTAGCTATTCGTGTCACGAGTGCATTTCACCTTGACAATAGATCAAGAATGAGTTTCAGCAGTGTGGCCCACCTACTTTGCAATGCTCTAGCATGACAGCTGCTTTGTGTCCTCAGGGTAGCTTTTCTTTGATGCTTTTCCCTGTTTAGAAAAATTTGGAGGGAGGATTTTGGTAATCTCCAGCAGGCAGAGTTTTTAAACCTATCTCAAGGGAAGATGAAGATTCTACAGAATTTTTGAACAAACAGTTATTTATGAAGTAAGTGACATTGTCTTTAGAACTGTTATTCCCACTGGGCTCCAGAGAACAGCAGCATTTGCCATGCTGGATCTGACTGGTCGCTGCTGTAGCCTGCTGCTCCTGGCACCTCAGGCTTCACTGTGGAAAACTGTGGAAGGCTTATGACAAAACATCTAGTCTGACCATTGCAGATATTGCTCTAGTTATTAAGGGGCGTGTTTTCATGCCTCAGAAGTACACAATAATAGAACTATGGTCTTTGCTCTTATGGGCTCTTTGGCACCAGAAATGCTGGAGCTAAGTTCTTCTTAACTTGGCTGTCTTTCTGGTTGCCTAAAACATACTGCAGTAGCTGCTGTTAGATGCGATTGAAATGACTGGTTTGCTGAATTAGCTGGACAAACTACAGGGGAAGAGAAACAATCAAATGAGTTCACTGTGGTGTACATGGGCCTGACCCAAGGTTATGGGGCAGTGTGATTGCATCATTTGCTCATTCAGTAGCCACGCTGCCACTGAAAAGATCTGTGTCTGGTTCCTGACAGCCTGATCTTTTGATGAATTTGACATCACTTTCCGCATGATCTACTTCATCAGTGTCTCACGTCACCAACATTTGCATCTGTCCTGGCAAAGTTTTTCTGTTTGTCCATTTTCGAACCAACCTCACATCCCCCTTTCCTACTCTTGTTGGAGGGGGCAGCGCAATCATTCTCAGTGTGTGCCCTGTCTCTTTTGGCAGCCTCGGGGACCAGTTCTACAAAGAAGCAATTGAGCACTGTCGCAGCTACAACTCTCGGCTCTGTGCCGAGCGCAGTGTCCGCCTTCCCTTCCTGGATTCGCAGACTGGGGTGGCTCAGAACAACTGCTACATCTGGATGGAGAAGAGGCACAGGGGACCAGGTTGGTAGTGCTGTGTCTGTGTATGCACGTGCATGTAAGGAGGGCTGGCCACTGAGCCCTCATGGGGTTTAATTAATAGGAGCTCAAACCTGCTACAAGCCACACAGAAAAGAAACTGCCTCAACCTCTGTGCCTGGAGGGGATTTCCTTTGGTAACTGCAGAGAGCTCATGCTAATTACTCTCTCTCTATGCAAAGAAGTGCCTGACATGGTAGTTTCTAAGGCTGCATCATTGTAGCTCTTTTCATGCTATCAATCCCAGTCTGTAGCAGAAGACTCAATGCTCTGCTCTAAGCAGGACTGGAATTACCTCCAAGGTGGAGGTGGGAGTTTCTCAGATGAATGCTGAAAATAAGGAACTATATTAGGAAGGATATAAAACTGAAGCAAAATACAGGAGAGTCCATTAATGTTGTTCTTGAATGTTGTTCTAATGGTTAGAAATATACCTATAAATCCTGGTTCTGCTTTGGATAGGTTAACTTGGATATCAGTTCTGGAGATGTGGTTCCCTTTGGGTACAGAAATAAGTTGGTACATTTCCTTAAGGAGATTTGGCTAATGCCTGTTCCACAGCTCAGTGAAGCTCAAGGGAAAAGAGCACTGGTATTTTTGTAGACTTTGGTCAGTTGTTCCTTTGTTAGACTAAATCCATCTGAAATACATTTTTGAAAGGCAAAGGACAGTCACCAAAGACTGGAGATGTTGCTCAGACAGAATTCCTTCTGAACCCCAAGGGAAATTTGGCTCTGTTGCAGCACAGTATCTGACCAATAATTAGCTCAGGAAACGGACTTTTAACAGCACCAAAATGATTTCTACCTTCTACCTCTTTTCCCCCCCCCCCTTCCTCCCCCCCCCCAGACAATCCAGGCAGAAAGGGACCTGGAGTACATGGGCACTGGAAGTATGACATGCACACATGTGCATAAATATCTTCCAGTTCTTTAAATAATATTGACACCCTCCCACCTTCACCCTCCACCCCCTCAAATTCTAGATCTGAAATTATGGGAAGGTGAAGCTTGCTCTAATCTCCTCCACTGTCTGGTTTACAGGAGATGAAGTGGGAGGAACACATAGGATATTCCTTTACCCTCCTGGGGTTAAGAAAACAATTACTGCTTCTGAAAAGTGCCTAGCTGAGTCTTAGGTGAAACTTTCCTCTTCCTCTTTCTAGGATATACTAAAGGAAGGACCTTTGTGCTCCTCCTATTACTAAAATATCAAAAGTAGATTTAGTGTTGTTTTGCAGTACTACCAGAAAACTGTTTATGTAATAAAATGCAGCCACTTCTTGTGCTAGAGACAGCACGTCTTTTTACAGCATTAAAAATACCTGAAGAATATTTCAGCTACAAAAACTGCTGGGGTAATTCAGGACTGCTGAATGCGGTTCACAGGATGGGAGTTTTTTAAATGTCCGGACTAACCCTTCTTTGGTAGGGTTGCTTCATAAGCACAGTTGAGTTTTTTGTTTCAGCTGAAAAGTCTCTAATCCTAAGAGATTATGCTTTGCATAAATCCCCTTCCCTTCCCTTCCCTTCCCTTCCCTTCCCTTCCCTTCCCTTCCCTTCCCTTCCCTCCCCTCCCCTCCCCTCCCCTCCCCTCCCCTCCGCTCCCCTCCCTTCTTATTATGAGTAAGGTGTTGCTATTTTTATCCTTCTGAACACAGTCAGAAGATGTATAGATATATATACACACACTCAGGTATACATCCACAGTGTCCATAAGTAATGTTTTGTCACCAGTATCTTCCACAAAGATACAAATAGTCTTGTGTGGGTCTCCTTGGCATCTGTACACGTGCAGAAGGAATCATCATAACTGTGTTACAGCATCACACCAGGAACCAAGATGTCTTCATTCTTTGCCTGTCTCAGCCACAAGCTTTGTGGACTACTTTGAGCAAATTCATTCTGTAAATCTTTCCTTCCTCACTTTTGATAGTGGACTGTTTGGCAGCTTGCCCTGCAGAAGGGGATAGGTGACATTTCTCCTGCAGGTCTGCACTGGAGAGTAATGGTGGAACATTCTTCACAGAGAGTATCAAGTGAAAGAAGCCTCCTGCATCTGCGTTGGCCCCAAATCTGATGACTTTGTTGTTTTGAATTAGAATAATCAGTTTGAAATGAATCAGTCCTCTTACCCCATATTTGCTTTTCTCTTTCTTGATTTTTATTAGCCCATTTAGTGCTCCCCTGAGTGTCTTTGCGTAATTTGTTTCTTGTAGTATTATGGTGAATCAAGGCATCCCTCTACAGTTTTACCATGCCTGGTATTGGTCTGTACACAATTTGCTCGTGCCCATACTAAAGGGCTCTGAAAATTATCTCCCAGCAATCCCAGTATCTGTCTTGTGTGCTGTGCTCACTACCCTTTACTATCCCTAACCTGAAATACTAGATAAAGACAAATGGCAAAGCTCCAGGACCTCTTTTCACTTACACGGACTTGAAAAACAGAGATGAGTCAGGAACTCAGCATATTAACCTGAGTTCTTGCTGTCCTCTTTGTTAAAGGAGTCAGAAATCTGCATCTCATGATAAACAATTCAGGGTTAATTTCACACAATACTGCACATAACTCCCTCCTTTCCCCCTCCTCCCCTGGCCTTTCACACGAGCTTTGAGTTATGACTCTCCTATACTAATGAGATAAACAACATAACTCACTGCAGGTTCTGCTATTTCGTCTGTAAGCAAATGGTTGGAACCTTCTCTGGTTGCCCTATAAGGTACCAGAGAGAGAGACAACCCACATAGGGCTGAAGATAATAATATGCATTATTTCCATATTCACTGCAAGATTGCCTGTGAAGGAGCTACATTCAGAGCATTCAGAACTGACCCTTTCCTCGTTGCCTCTCCTTTGTGTAAGATCTACATTTTATGTGAGCCAGCACAGAGACAGATGAGGAACAGGGTAGAGAAATGAAGGTAGCATTGGTGGGTTGAATGAAGTGAAAATCTGGTATGTGTTTTAAGTTCATTGGATGGCAGTATATTAATGAACAGGTGTTCTTTGAGTAGCAACAGAGCTTACCAGAAGGGCTGCAGAGGTGGATGTTGGATCATCTATTTCTGATTGATCTACCTGCCACTCTCGAAGGAGGAGGCTCTCCCAACTCTCCTTTCAAGTTTCTAGTTGGGCTTTCAGCATGTGTATTTGGCTTTTGCTGTCCTAGCTGAATCCAGAACTGCTCTTTTGTATAGGAGCGCTCACATTAGCAACTATTCCCTCAAAAGCAAAGATGATCTTTGCTCCTCTCTGTCTGGGACAAAAGCTGTGGTACTTACTCCTTCAAATGGCTCCTCTATGGAGGCCTGTGCAATGGAGGGCTGATTCTCTGTCCTATTGCTTTGATCTGGAAATTGCCATTTCAGTGTTGTCTTCAAGTCCATGCACAGGACCTGCTGAGAAAGGGTGGGGTTTCTTGCCTCCACCTGTTTAATTACTCACATCAGAGCCAGGCACAGTCTACCTCATCATTATAGCAATTGTTTGCAGTGGTTAATGTTTGCAAAGTGGCATGAAGAAAGGTGTCCAAACATTCTATAAGTGCTAGTTATCCCCATTTTTATTTCCAAACCGGTCTTAGGCAACCTGTTCTGAAATGTGTCCTTCTTGGGATGTGCACAATGCCCAGCCTTCTGGCCATCAGTGAAAGAAGGGCATGAGAAGTCCAAGTTGACTAGCATTCTGTGCCCTGAAACAGCCAGAATCTCTGCAGATACTCATCACTTGGCCATACTCAGGCAGTATGCTGTAGATGCTCCAAGGCCTTGGAAGTTGGTGGAAGGTGCTGGGATCTGAACTGATATTCCCAACAGTTGAAATATTTAAAACCAGGAACTTAGGTCTCACCTGCAGAATTTGATTAGCACATTACCTCAAGGTGAATTATGTTAATGTGTCTTCCTCCCCACCCCCATGTAAGAGGATATTGTTTTTTTTTAATTATCCTCATTTGGTCTGGTGAGTTGCTTTTGTTCCCAAGCTGATATTCTCTCCTGGCTGCTTCCGAAGAGAGGAGAGAACTCTTGGGCCATCCTCCTGTCCTTGAGCTGTTCTGCTTTACTGGCACCCCCTTGATGCTGTCCAGCTGTTCACTGTCAGTACAGTTTCAGATATAGCAACACCATTCCTGTTCTCTCTCTTATGTGGTCTTACCTGGTTTTTGAGGACAATGACTCTGGAATTGAAGTCACGCTTTGTAGCCCCTTCAAGACAACAGGAATTGCAGAAGGGCAGAGGAGCCAAACCAGAACTGGTGGACAGAGAGGGCAGGAACGGCAGAGGAGATAATTAAATTCCTCCAACTTTTCTTGCTGGGTATTTGTGTGTGTCCATGACTATCTGGGGCAAAAGCACTTGTCAGTGTGCTTCTGTGCCCCTAGTAGCGATGCATTCACAAAGCCCTGCTGTGTCCTGAATGTGAGAGAGAAAAGTACAGCTTGAACACTGGCTGAAGGGTGTCTGTCAGGAGAGCCAGGGCAGCTCAAAACCCAGTGATGCCAAATGTGATTTAAGGGAACATGCAGTGATTTAAACATTATTGGTGTATCTCCTCCCTCATTCAGAATATTGGCATGAGGAGGTAAGAGTCAAAATGAAGAATTAGTATTGAAACAAAAGTCCAGAATGTAAGCAAAAATACGGAATCAGACCTCTTGGATCTTGGTTTGCTCCTGTTTGGAAGACACAAATTTCCTGACCTGTTCTGTGCATCAGGGCCTAAAGATTTGCATGTCAGAACTTCATCTCTTCTCTCTCAAGGGGCTTTCTCTGCCTGTGGAGGAGGCATCACCCTTGTGACCCAGGAGAGTCTGAAATTCTATTTACCCTGAAGAAATCACAAATTATTTATGTGCAGCTCTGGTTTCAGTGAGCTGAGTGAAGTGTCTGAGTGAGACCTAGATTCTCTGTAGGCCTGATCCCAAGAGGTGCTGAAGAGCCTCAGGAGCACTGGATGCCAGTGTGTAGCTCTGTCTCATGATTTTCAGGATTGCACCTTCCAACAAGGAGATGCTGGAAGGGCAAGAACAAAGATGCTAGAGACAGTGCTTGTGGTTTTCAAATTGAGATGTGATTAATTTTTTGCCTTTAATCTTCAGGCCTGGCCCCAGGTCAGCTGTACACATACCCAGCACGTTGCTGGCGCAAAAAGAGGCGTTTGCATCCCCCTGAGGATTCCAGGCTGAAGCTGCTGGAAATTAAACCTGGTAAGTATTTGTTTGCCTGCCTCTCCCAGGCTGCAGAGCAGCTGGCATACATGCAAACCTGGCATTTAGACCTTGGACTTTATCTTTGCTGCTTTCCAACCATTTCTCATTGCATCTGTTGCATCTTACTTGATTTACTGTAACCATAACCACCAAACCCTCTGCATACAACTCATCCCTTACAAAAACCTGAACAACTTGTATTGAATGCAGGGGGAGCTGAATTTACCTTCTGTAGGGTTGAATCCTGGCTTCTATTAGAAAACTAACAAGGATGTAAAGAATCAATATATTACTGACTTTTTCCTCAGTGCATTACTAATACACAGTCTCACTGGCATCTGCTGCCTAATCTTTGTGAAAGAGACCACTGTGTGTGTGAAACAGTAAGTATAAGATAAGATTTTTCTTGGTAGGGCTATTGATGAGGAGTATGACCAGATTACGAACAAAAAATAATGAAAAATAGGGAGCATATGCCACATTTGTGTATTTCTGTCTGACTGTATGTGTACCTTTGTCTAGTATTCTTTCATTCTTCTTGTCCTTGCTACTCTTTCACAATTAAACTATGTGAAGTGATGAATCTGGATGCTGAATGAGGGACTGTAAAGCAGATGTGGAGGAGCTGCAGCTGTGTCAGGTAGAGCGTGGTGTTGTGCATTCTTCCTTGCAGTTAGTAATAAAGGCTTTCTGTCTCTGGGGTCAGCTATTGTGAGAAAGAGGGAACACATATACTCACAGCTGTATGTGGTTTTTAAGAGGTGAGATGCTGTCAGTATAAAAAGTACAGGAGAAAACCCCCAAATGTAAATTAGAATATTAAAAAAACCTGTTTGACAGAAGGAGGTGCCTGGGAACTGAGCTATGCTCAGCAATACTGATGACTTTGCTTCTACACAGTAGTTGGTGGAGAAAGAGGAAAGAGCAACAGAGACAAGTTCAAAACTCATTAAAATCAGAGGTGAAGTTCCTGTTGATTCTGGTATAAACAGTTTTTGAAAACTCTACCTTCAGTATAGGAGGCATCAGTGGAGAGTTGGAAAAGAGGAAGAAATCCCTATAACCACTCAGCTGGGGTTCAAACCAAGGGCAAAATCTCAGCCAGAAAATAGAACTAGACCTCACAGCAGAGCTGCTTAGAAAGAGCTGATGAAATCAGTCATGTACATTGATGAAAATGAGACTGGACTCTAGAGAGAAGATGATGTTGGCTCATAGAAGTGCCTACCTTAGACTTTTTGATGATGTTGGTACTGCTGTGCCTTGGTAATCTTGTAAGGTAGGGTAGAGTTTTACTCTTTTTTGTTTGCATTACTCTTCTTTGCTGTACTCACTGAATGCCAAATTAGTGCATCCCACATGCCACAGGGCATGAAAGGCAATTACCACAAAGTTATCAGATAAAGAGACCTCAGCATGTCTGTCTCTGTGTTGTTTTCCCTGCTATAAACATCTCCTCTGCATCTCAGGAGTGGTACTTTTGTTGCATTGCCAGTGGCAACCAAATAAGGCGAGTTATATTGCTCTGCCATTTAAATCTATTTTCCAACCAATTTCTATCTAGTGATTAACTTTCCTTATCAGTTATACCACAAAACAGTTTCACTCCATCTGTGCATATCCAGAAGAGACTGACTAGCCAAAAGTGGGATTTCCCCCTTCTCTGATCTGAAAGTGGAAAACCTATGGAACACCTTGGACCTCCATTTAGAGGTAGCTTTTGACAATTTGGGAGAAAGAAAGTAGAATTTATTTTCACCATTGACAGCAGACATACTGTAGATTTTGGAGGGGAATAGTATTGTAAAACCTAATGCTGAACCTAGGAAGCTGCCTAATGCTGACTTCTCTGTCCTCAGTTAAGCATCAGATGGTTGTGTGGGGCAAAGATGTAGAAAATTAAGATCTATTAAAAAGCACAGAGATGACAGCTGTAGAACATATAAAATAAATTTGAAAGAAATTGAATCTATATATTCCATAGTTTCATTCCACCTAGGGCTTGGGCATTCTGTTCATTCCTTAGAGCTGTTCTCAGCAGCTAGAGAGTGCTTATGCTTGGTTAATATGCAAATAGCTAATTTTTATAGAGGAGGCTGTGAAATTGTTAATATATTTTTATAGATTTTTGTAACTGTTATATGGCACATGCAAGCAATGCACTTCTACAACATCAAATTAGGGCAAAACCTTAGTTGTATTATGTTGACTGCATAGAAGTACTTCTTGTAAGACAACCACTGTAGCAAACACAGAAGAGGCTCTTTGCTCCAAAAGTTGCCATTCCAGAAGTCAATGGGATTGGCACCAGGGGTATGAATACTTGCTTGGACTGCACCTGGGATTTCAGAATGGCTTATTATAGCAAAAAGTTTTATTCAGAGGTTCCTGTATTCAGAAGACACCTACATAACTCAGGAGATGCACAGAGTAGGCTTTTTGTTTTGGTAAATCATAGCTAGTCATCGGCTGGTCAGTAAGTAGAATCAAACTAATGTGTTGCCAGCAGTTTGAGGGCATGAACAATAAATGATTTAGTAATAGTATAGTATACTATTTTACTTTATAAAACTGAAATAGTTTTATAGTTTTAGGTTTATAGTTATAACCTACTTTTGCAGTTTATGTAGTACATGACACAACTCAGTGAATGGGAGTTTCACATTTGATAATACCAAAATCTAATGAAGAAAATAATCATACTCCAATGGTCTGCTGGTTTTTTGTAAAGTGGAAGGTACACGGTAATGTTTTTCATGGGGGTGAGTTGATGCCTGCTTCTTAATAGAAGATGGTAGTTTTGTTGTCCTGATATATTGGTTTTATTTGGTTTAAAATGAAGGTGTTTGGTTTTAAGAATAGTTACAGCCAAAGTTGTGCAGGTGTGAACAGTGGAATAGGAATTGCTAATGCAGCCTTTAGATGTCTCTTTTCCTCTGCCCTTTATTCAGACTTACATGGATGCATTGCCCGAGTACAGTGGTTTGTTCAAGGGTCTAGCAATGTTCATGTTTGTGCTATTTCTCTGCATCCTCCCTCCCATCCAGCAGACTATCCAGTAGATATGCAGGAGAAACAAAGTATTGCCAATACTTAGTTATGATAGTGCCTTTACTGACAATACAGGCAATATTATGACCAGATCTTCAGGGGTTTTACTAAGTTTTTACTTTCATATGGCCTGGTCTTCATCTTTCATCTTTAAGTCATATTCTTATCATCAAAACCAAGCATTATGGCTCAAGTGTAGCCTAGAGTTCGTTGTTGTAATGGGTCTGAGCTGTTACTTGAGTCATTATAGTGTAGCAGTCAATACTTCTATGATCACTAGTACAGATTTGAAATAAATCCTGGGCCATGGGCAATATATTGTCATGTTGTATATTGCCAATACTGTGATTTCATAGGTTCAAAAAATAGCAGATTGAAAGGGACCTCTGGGATCATCTAGTCCAACCTTCCTTGTCAAGAGCATGATCTAGACAAGATGTCTCAGCACCCTGTCCAGCCAGATCTTAAAACTGTCCAGTGCTGGGGAATCTACCACTTCCCTGGGCAGATTATTCCAATGGCTGATTGTTCTCAGTGTGAAAAATTTTCCTCTTGTGTCCAACTGGAATTTCCCCAGGAGTAACCTGTACTCACTAGCCCTCATATTATTCATGTTACTCTGTAAAAAGGGTGTCTCCATCTTTAAATACTCCACTCTTTAAATACTGGAACACAGTGATAAAGTCTTCCCTAAGCCTTCTCTTCTCAAGTGTGAACAAACCCAGTTTTCTTAGATAGCCATATGGAAGGCTTCCCAGGCCTTGGATCATCTTTGTAGCCCTTCCCTTGACCCCCTCCAGACTGTCCACATCTCTTTTGTATAGCAGGGACCAAAACTGAGCACTGAATTCCAGGTGTAGCCTGACAACCACTGATTATGATAATAGCTTATCTCTGCTGGTGATGTCCTTGCTGATGCAACCCAGCATCCTGTTGGCTTTATTTTTTTATTGCCACAGCAGCACACTGTTCATTCATATTGAGCTTATGGTCCACCAGAACACCAAGGTCCCTGAGGTGCTCCCCAGCCAGGCAGATCACAGTCTGTCCTGCACTCCTCAATTATGTTTTCCCAGATACATTTCCTAGCTGCAGAGTTTTAAGCTTACTAGGTGTTAATACTCATATAATATTTGTGAAACTAGACTTCTGTTCAACCAAGTATGGGAAACCTGGTTCTCTGCAGCATCATGCTGTGGTATTCGCATGGCACAGGGCAGTGGGAGGGCTGTAAGCAGCTTCCACATTCACCCAGCTGCCTTTTCTCCTGCCCAGTAAAAAAGTAAGGACAGAGCTGAGCTCCTGTGCTTGAGAAGTCTGGGCGTGGGTGAGGGAGAGGGTTGAGCTAGGTAGCCTGACTTCCAATGGAGTTGGGAGAAAGAGGAGAATTTTTAGCTCTACCACTACTATGAACTGCGGGTGCTGTGCAGGTGAGCAGTATGGTTCTGGCCCTTGGCAAAATCAGAGCAGTTGGAAAGAGGAGGGCTAGAAATGAGAAGGAGATCCTGGACTAGACCCAAGGTCCCTTTAAATCATAATGGATCCTTGTCCTCTATACTTAGTGGTTTCATGGTGCTGGATAGTATCATGATTCTGTGTTGGGTCAGCTATCAAAATTGTGGTAGTGCTGTTGCCTACAGTAAACCCTGCTGACAGGCAGGTATTACCCAAGCTTTGCACCTATGCAGATGAGAACAGATGTGGTGAGTGTGGCCAAACACTCTGGTGGAGTTTCAATTGGTAGTGTCCTACTTCAGTCTTTCAAGATGGCTAAATATAGGTACACACATACATACCTACAGAGCTTTTATTTCACATGGTGTGTAAGTCTAAAGCATATGAGTGTCATGTTTTTGTGTCAGTTTACTGATGTCCTTTGGTTTTGGACTGAAAGCCCACAGTGAGGTTTCAGAGTGGCAGCCTTCCCACCCACTTGGAGGGTGTGA